TTTTGTTCTTTATTTTTAGCTACGTTTCAAGGTAACTGTGTTAAAAGAGAAATGTTTGAGTAGTGAGTCTCACCCCAGATGGGGCCCGTCCTACACAGGTGGCGCCACTGAATTCTGCTGTATCCAGAGCTATATGGCAGATTTCCTTAACTAAGGACCTCCGCACTTGCTCTTGGGCACTCCTTACCTGCCCACTGCAGGCCAGCGTTCTTTGTAGTAACAGTAGAGGGATTTTATATTTAGGTCTACAGGCTACAATAGTATTTTCACTCTGCCAGATTGTGAAATTAATTTCATGTGGCACGAGTAGTATTTTAAGTGAAATACTACAGAATGAAAAGTGTCAAAAAATGCCACACATTCTAAGTAATAAGAACAAGGTTTGTTTAACAGGTTCTAGGTGTGCATTGGACATTGATATGAAATTGATCATTCAACACAGGTAAATCCAAGACTTCCAACTCGTTTATGACAAATTGCATTTGTTCACCAATGTCTGCATTTTCTTCTCCACAAGCAGACCACCTCAGACTTCTGCTTTGTTGTTTCAGTATTCCTACAGGACTCAGATTTGGCCAAGGAAATGTGAGCATTTCTAAATGTGCTCCTTCTAGACTTTGCTCATGAACATTTCCCAAAACGATCCTTGCTTTTTGCTCTCTGTAGCTGGATTGAGAAGATTCAGAGGAAGATGGAGCCACAGGATGGGAGGAGCCCAGGTCGTTACATGTGCACGTGGAATGCTGCTTGCTGACCAAGCCCCTGGACTGTGAGGGGTGAAAATAGACCTTTTCTATTAAGCTGCTGGCACTGGAACTTGGGTTTTGTAATGGCTTGTTTTACTTTCTTTATTGCAGGACTGATAAAAAAGTGAAATCCAAAATGATGTGTCCTGCTCTCCTGATCTCTGGTCTTATTACTACAGCTCTTTAACAAATAGCACCAACGAAGTACTAAGCTCAGTACATAGAACATGTTTGAAGTTGGCTGTCTTCACTTCTGTATTGTAGCTATGACTTACTCTGATTGGCCCTGGCTTTCTACCTGATTATACTCATACCCTTGGCTCACGACACTTTATAACTAAGTCACTCTGAGCTGCTTGGACCTACCTGACAGCCAGTCCTTCCCTGATGACTTCCAATAGATCTCGTAGCAGTAATATGGGATGTAGCACAAAACTAATTTGTAATAATTTCTGATAAGACATTTTAATGTAAGTGAAGAACATTCTCATTCTAAAAAAATAATCCAAATAATTACAACAATAGCAACAAGGGACAATAGTAAGCATTGTCTTCGGGTATTGAGCTAGATGTTTTTATCTATGTATTATGCCTGATTCTCATGAAAGCCCAATAAAGTAGGAACTACTATACTTATTAAAATATGAAGACAATGAAGTTCAGAGAAGTGAGAAAGTTCATCCCAGGTGATGCTGTTAAAAATGTGCCAGAGCCAAGATTTGAGGTCACGTTTGTCTGATAACCCAAATCATGCTTTTTTTTTTTTTTTAAATGATGTTCCTTCCTGAGCACAAAAAGAATAAATGCTCAATAGCCTGAAGACTTCTATAGGCTGAAGATTTTCCTGGGAGCTTTTAGGTCACTTTACTGAAAAGGGAACGTGATTGTGGAGGCCTCACCCTGCACAGAGCTGTCCTGACTTTTTAGTTCACTTGTGGCTAGGTCAAAGCTGGAGACACCCAAAGCAAACTAGCATTTCAGTGGAGACTGCAGTTACCCCTTCTTACCCAGGTGTAAGAGGAATCCCAAGCTTCTAAGAAAAGTGTCCAGCGCATTATTCTAACACTTAATCAGGTAGCTGGGAACCAACAGGAATAAACAGATCTGAGGCTCACTGCAGTATAAATAGAACTAGCCAGCGTGTTGTCCTCAGACATAAAATGTAGGCCCATGGCATTGGGGTTGGGGTGCTCTGAATGTTTCACTGAGAAGCAGGAAGAAAATAGTGAATTTCCTGTAGCATAGTAATTTTGTTTTGAAGTAAGATAGCTAACAAGTAGGCTCCTCCTGGTGCTTCCTTTCTTTCCTTAGGTCACACGTGACAAACAGCTCGCATGAAATGCCTTGAGGAACGAGACTGCAGGGCACAGCAAGGCTGAGAGCAGAGCCACTGCTTACTAAGTCACTTTGCAAACCGTTTCACTACTGGACAAAGCCCTGTTTGGATTTATTTGCTATTTATCCAGTTTTAGCAAAATAATCTTAAAAAAAAAAAAAAAAGCCCAGACACTGTGGTTTAAAGTCTTCCTACAAAAAACTTAAAAAGTTGATGATAATCCTAGTAGGGTAAACACAGGTAATCAGGAAGACAAGTAGCAATCCTTTCTTTCACTGATGGTCTCCTTAATATTTGTTTTGATTCCAGCCACACCACGAGGTTAAAAACACGCGAATTTATTCAAAAGTAACAGAAATCATCAAGAGTTCTTAAACTGCAGGCTCACCCACTGCCATCGATGGGGAGCAGCAAGCCCAGCATATGTTGTAGTTTGAGATGTACTTAGATGTGCATAGATAGTTTATAAAATAAACTGCGGGTTCTGCTCAATGGTTTTGTTTCTAGGTGGTAAAATATGACCAAAAGTTTCATGTCAAAGTCTTTGATCCAGTTCATTCTAGGGCATGTTGCATAATTCAGAAGGCACAAGCAGGTACAGAGCAGCTGGGTCTGGATAATCGCGGGAAACGTCAGCCTCTCTTTCCCACCGATTGCACCTCCAGAGCTGAGCTAGCACAGCCCTAATTGCCTTCATAAACACAAGAGAAATCATTTTCAGCTGCCTGGGACTCTGCCGGGCAGATTTTGCTTTTCATCAAACTTGCTGTTCTCCATCAAGCGTGGCTGGAATGATCCGGTCTTGATTTGGATTCAGAAGCTCATTCACACTGCTCTAAGCAAAATTCAATCAAAATATTTACCTCAATAATTTGGCCCAAAACTTCCCTCAAATTAACTAAGGCAAACTGTTCAACCAGGTTACTACAGAAAGCCCTAGAGGAGGGCAGAGCTGTGAAAAAAGGGGGGCTGTGGAGAGGGAGAAGCCACACGCCAAGGAGACACAGTCAAAAGTATATACAACATTTATTAGCTAAAGTACCACGAAAAGCATTCTAATCAGTTGGTTTCCTCTCATTAAATGTTAATTAGTTCATATAAGCTTCCTGCATAGGAAAGTATGAGGTACTTAGCACGCATTAGGAAAGAGACAAGTCACACGAGGAGTCTTGGGGACCACAGACAGGGAGCAAGGACACTGTTACATCGCTGGCTGGTATTTTTGTTTGAAGGCATATGTGAGCTCCTTGAGGGGGACCCTAAAGATCTACCAGAAACAAACACAGACTACAATTTTCATTCTAGGAACGAGTCTCTGAAATAACGTTCATTGAGTTTTTAAAAATACACTTAATGGGATTTGCTCTTGAACCAAATGCTCCGATTATATTTAGATATGTTTGCTCACACCATTTAAAACCACAAAACAGGATAATCCGATCATAGTAAATGGCCTGTTAGCCAGATTGTTTAGTATGCTGGCTTATAAACCATCTTGGGAAAAAGTTATGAAAGTAAGGAAAACAACACTCAAGGGCTTAGCGGATTTTGAATCATTAAATGAGTTAGAAAAAAGCCATGGGACCATAGAGGTCTGGAGCTAGATGGGACTCTCAAGACAACGTCCTGAGCTCACACACAGTCAGCCCAGCTGGACAGCCCTCCCTGTCCTCACAGTTCCTGCTCTCACCAGCTGTGCCCCATCCCATGAGGCTACTAAGTGTCATGAATCTCATCCTAATAAAGTTAGAAGCACTCATTTCATGGATGAAGACACAGCCATCCATGCTGATGATATGACTTACCCCTCATACACATCTCTCTAAGAGAAAAACAATTTTTATATCTTTTTGAGACAGTCTATGAAGTTCAGGCTGGACTTAGGTAGAAGGCTGGTCTCAGATTCACAACAATTCTGCCTCTCAGCCTTCCAAGTGCTGGGATTACAGGAGTGCACCACCACAGCTGGCTGAAAAACAGAATTTGTATTAAGGTCTCATTCTATAGGCCTCTTGTAGTGTCGAGATCCCTCCCTCTTGCATTCAACTGAGATTTCTGTGTAAAATGGTGGCACAATAATCACCTTTTGATGTGGAATGACAAAGGCCATAATGCAGGTTGGGCCAATGTTTTGGCAACAGAAAAAGGAACTGTAACTTGACTTCTTTATTTCAAAAAATGAACGTTGAACTTTTACTGACTGCTTACTAAGTGATGGACACAGATATTTTTCAAATAGGCACTCAATTTTTGCAACAGTTTTTTAAAGTATTTATTGTCCTCCCATTTCAAGGATGGAAAAATTGAGGTACAGAGATTAATGCATGGGAAACCTTTTAGATGGTTCCCAATGATCTACCTCCCTTTCTGATATTCACACACTGTAGTTGCCTCCCTTTGGCTTGAGCTGGACTGAATGTGCCAAACAAAGTAATGGGATATCACTTCTTCCATAGATAGATTACAAAAGATATGACCTCTGGCTTACTGGAAGAATCTTTTCCTGCTGACTTTGATGACATCCATGGGGACACATCTGAGGACAGCCTCCAGACGATGGCCAATGAGTGAGTTCTTAGTCTAATGATCTTGTAGGAACAGAACATTAACAATCACGTGTGTGGGCTTGGATATGGATTCCTCCCAGTCAAGCCGCCACATGAGATCACAACCCATGGGCTAGTGCCTAGACTGCAGCCTTTTGAGAGACAGAAAAGCACAGGACATGGCTAAGTAACGCCAAATTCCTGACCCCCTGTGAGGTGATAACCACATTTCTCTGAGAATAAGATCTAGCTGGAAAACAATCAGCCTCGAAAACTAGAGGATAAAAATGCCAGTCCTAATCAGCCTATCTTTACCTTGCCTGGATTAGAGAGCACCACTGAGCAGGAAAAAGGGGGTGGAGATAAGGCAAGGATAGGCTGATTAGGACCGGCAGTTTTTAAGATTGATTATTTCCAGCTAAGTCTCATTTGGGGGAGACAGGGAACTTAATGTTGGAGTATCTTGCTAGAAACAAAGATAACTATGTCCTTGCTCAAGACCATACATTTAGTGAGTAAAAGAGAAAGGATTTGAACTCAACTACTGTAGCTCCTGGTTTTGTGATTTTAATCACTGATCCCGTTCTGTCCCTCAGAAGCCAGACTGCAGTGCTTACCATCATCGTGGTCACCATAATCCCAGGATCATTGTCATTGCCACCAGCTCATTATCACAAACAAAACACCACCTTTGTCACAACTAATTGCTTTACAAAGTTTGTTTCATTTAATCACCACAATGTCCCTCAACTTTACACTTAAAGAAAAAACAACCCCTGACATTCAGGTAACATAGGCTTGTTCAGGGTCCCACAGAAAATTCAGAATGTGATCCAGTTGGCTGCAAAGTTCGTGCCTTTTCCATCAAACTTTTGATTCTCTGTAACCTCAAAGAGTATCCAATCAGCTAATTATACCCTCAGCAACAATTCCTTCTAACATTGCAATAAAATTTAAAATGATTTGTTAGTAAATCACTGACAGCAAAGTCTACTTGCTATAGTCTTTTATAACTCTACCATGGTTAACAACTCCAAGGAGAGCTTCAGGATGCGGGATGCGCGGACATGAGGGTAATCCGGAAGCAGGAAGGAATGCCCTTGTCACATTACATACGGCACTTGTTATTAGTAAATACGACAAAGTGCTCTGTAAGCTAAAGCAGCATCAATTACATAATTCTAAGTTTCTTCCAAGGATGAAAATTATAAAATCTGATCTAATATAATAACACATAGATAAAATTTTGAACGATTTCCTATTGTGTAGTAAATGAGAGGCTCCCACTCTGTGGCACATTGTAGCCCATTCTAACTTTTGGCTGAATCCCCTCTCCGTACAGTTCTACACACAAAACTGAGGTCTGACTGTGTTTTGCTCTGGACTAAGCACATTAGGTAGCACAGCTCAAAGAATTCTTTTTAAAAGCAAAATGGTTAGAATAGAAGGGGAAGAAGACAGAAAAGAAAAAGAAGGAAAGCAGAAGGCACGAACAAAAGACAATTTTGCTCTTTTTACTGTAGCAAAAAATGCTCAAATTCAATAACACATACCAATTACAGTCCAAGTGGGTTACTATGTATTCTGATACACTTGTTTATAACAAAGTTCCTTCTGCAAACCAAAGAGAAAGAAAACAGTATATCAAGTATCCAGCCATAAGCCATATACTCTGCTCTTCTTCCACCTACTATTCCCATGATTCTCCAGTGCCTTCCAATTTTGTCTTCCTTGTTTTTGAGCATTTGAACCACAGCTAAACAAAAAGTACATGCTTTTTAGAGCAACTCAGAACTCTGCTAAGTCTGGTAGACTAGAATAATGAACTACAATTTTGCTGAGCCTCATTCCATTTCTTACAGTATTTTCTTGGCTATCTGGGAAGACATGGTAAACACGGGACCATCCAAATAATGAATGAGCCAATAAAGATCATTTAAATATAGTACTCCAGTTCACTTTGTAGATAGGGCTATTGACATAGTGCCATATACCAGCTGTCATTTGATTAACTGTGCGTTGGGGGATTCTTCTATTCCTATAGTGAGTCTCTGGCCAGTTTTTAGTAAGCCAGCATCATGGTTGTTGTCTTGACAGGATCCTTCAGCCTTCAGCAGTCAGTCTTCATCCTCTGAACTCACCCCTTCTTGTACCTGACTGTATCAGAATTAAGAGAAAAGAAAAATGACCTTGGTGGTAGATGTTTTGTTTTGTTTTGTGTTGCTTTTGACTCAGCAGGATAGAAACTTGGCTGGAAGAGAACTTATGGGGTTGCTACCCAAATTCCAAGAGAAAGCCCTGGAAAATACATAGGTCACTTTGTATTTCTTAAGTCCAGAGTTAGGCAGAAATGGTTAAATCACAGCTTTGTTTCTTTTCAGGATGTTTGTCTTCCTTTCATTTTATTTATAATTTGCCCATGGATGACTATTAAAACAACATGCTTAAAGCTATATAACAAAGAAAGTAGGTATTGTTTTCCACCATTTCATTCTTTTCCTCTCAAAATCTCTGGTATTTAAACCCTAAACACCTTTCTCCTCCCAAGCACCCTCTGTTCCTTCCCCACAAGGCACCTTCTCCCCTTTGAGGCTAAAGACCACTTTTGCCGTGTTCAGAAACCTCTCTGGATGGGAACAGATAGATCATGTCCTTCAACCTGGGGATGCCTGGGGGCCGCTGAGGTGTGCAGAACTGGCTGCCCCTTCGCTAAATGCTACCAGACAACTTCGCTCCTCCAGGTTTCAGGTCTGTTTTCTATTATTTTCTGCCTCCTCTCTGCTGCCAATCTGCTGTGCCTACTTCATTTCCCACAACTCTGACCCACAGAATGTGTCTCTTAAAAATCAATTTTTGGGTTTTTGGAAATCAGAAACAGCTAGGATCTTAGTCATCCTGATTTACTTTCTGACCTAGAAGTTTAAAGTGCAAATGCAGTGTTATTCTTTAATAAGTGTTCCAAAGGACTGAAGAAATGCTGTTGTACAAGATAAAAAAGAGAAGGATAAAACCAAACCTAAACAGTATTTGTAATGATAGTCACAGTCTATATTTAACATTTTTATTTCAGAAATTGATTTCTCATTTACCCAAAGTCCTGGAAACAGCCAGATTGATCAGAAGCACTTTTTCCTGTAGTCACATTTGCCTGATTTTATTGAATTTCCTTTCCTTAAATGAATCATGAGGGTTGAGTTAAATGCTAAATATCAGTATTTATATAAGGAATGTGCCTGTTTGCTTTTCCTTCAATTAAGGTAAATCTGATTGACCTTTATGCCACTGAATCTTGTGCTTATTAATGACATAGTTCTCCTACTTAGCAAGACACTCTGGTAAAACCTACCACATTGTATCAGAAGTGTAGAGAAACAGAGAGCACGTGACAATTGGCTACCTCTTGGGTGGCATTTGCCAAAAGAATCCAGGTCCTGGAAAATGGAAGATGAAAACCTAGGAGATAATCTCAACATGATCTGGGAAGTGCGTCTGTTTCTGTACAAGTATACACATTAAGATCATACAGATGAAAAATTGTTTCAAAAATTCAAAGTTGGGAGAAACTTATTGTAAGTTTGAGAATTCACTAGCAAACTAGTCATGGTGACAGAATTCTGGAAGGCAAACACAGGAGTATTACAAGTTGAAGGCCAGTCCTGGCAACTTGGAGACTTAAGGAAACCCTGTCTTAAACAACAACAACAATAAAAACAACAGCAAGGGAAAAAAAAAAAAACCTGGCTTTTAGCTTAACTCAGTGAGAAGGCTCTGGGTTCAATTTCCAGTACTGAAACACACACACTACAAAGTTAATTCTGGGCATGTATTGAAGATCTATGAAATAAATTTCCAGGAATTAGAATCATAGGAATCTTTGTTTTTAAAATCTCCCTGCAGGTCTCTGCTCCTGTATCCTCCCCTGGTGGTACAGCTTGGGAATCCTGCTCCAGTGTCCATTAATCTAGCACCTTAGAAACATGAGGGCGTTCTGTCCAGTGCTCCTGGAATTCAGACTTCGATGTTCTGCTTTGATATGTTCACCAGTGAAGAGCTCACTGTCCTGTCAGGTAGTCTGTGTCATTATGGGTCAGCTGATACTGCAAGAAAGTTCCCCCCTCCGAGGAATCAGTGTCTGTGTATCTCTTTGTGGTACTGTTTCATTGATCTAGATCCTTTCACCTGGAAGTATACAACGACTGTTGAACACACAACAATTCTTCAAGTCTTTGAGGACGGCTTCTCCATTCTGTCTTCCTGATACATCTCATTCATTCGCAAGCACTCCATTACTTAGTGCATGCCTCCTAACAACCATGTTAGCTTCCACTGTGTTCTGGGTATCAGGCCCTTATGTTCCCCATGTAGATAACCCTCTCACTTCCATTTTGGCATGTCTAAAAACATATCAACCCTAACAGCTTCTCCTTCTCTTCTTTTCCTCATTTGGTAAATTAACCTCTCTCCTTTTGTCCAAGCTGACATCTCCTGAGTTGTTAAAGCTTCATTCCTGACCCTTTGTGTTATTTCATACCCTTATCAAGTTCACCTTTATCAGGTCCTATATTCTCAGTTTCTTAACCTGCCTTCCCCCAACACACCTTGAATCTATCCCTTCTGTCCCGTCTACAAATTCCACCTTCCTGGTGCAGACCCTGATCATCTTGCCAGAAGTTCATTCAAGATCGTCCCAGCACCCAACTGAATTGTTTCAAGGTTTGTTCATTTGAACTCATTCTTCTCACTAATGCCAGAGTGATCTTTCAAAAGTACAAAGCTAATCATGACTCATCTGTACCAAATGTTCCTAATATAAAAATTCAAAGTCCTCAAAAAAAGTCCTTCATGACCCTAAATCATACTCACATCTTAATCATCGTTTTTGCCCTCCTCTGTGCTTCTGCTGCTCCATGGAATGTTCACAGGCTGGTAGCATCAGTACCATTAGGGAGCATGCTACAGGTGCAGAATCTCAGACTCTGAAACAGAATCTACATCTTACCAAGAACCCCAGAGGATCTGTGTGCACACAGGAGTTGGAGAAACACTGCTCTTCTGCAAGTCAGCCTTCTAACTGACTTCTGAGATTCGCTATTTCCTCTTCCTGAGGATAGCCTTCTAGGTCTCATACTCCAAAGCCTTTTCTGCCTAAAACTTTCATGTGTCCTCTTAGAAGTTTTTGGGAGGAAATGTTTTGTATTGTCTCATGATTAAATGATCCCTCCAATCTATCCCTGACACTTTCTACGTTGTTCAATAACAAAGTTTGCATAATTAGTATTTTAAAAGCAATCTTATCTACTATCACACTCCCAGTGTCTAAAATAGATGTTAATTAAGTGACTTATAAAATTAGTAATAGGTGTTTGCTAAATGTAAATTCCGTATCTCTTGCTGAAATCCAGGTGTGCTATGATCCTAATCTTTCCCTGATGATAAGATACTAGAAGCCCTCTCACAAGAAGTGAGGTTAAGCAGTTTTTTTTAAACTGTTGCTGGACCCTAGGAAATATATGCTTTCTCTATCAATGTCCAAATGCCCACCTTGAATAACCTTACAGGTTCGCAGACTGTTACAACACAAAGAGACCATGGACTTTATGTGATCCAGCCTCTTATTCTATAGATCTGAAAAGCTTAGGATATGGAGCTTGACTTTTACCAAGAGGCATATCAAGTTTATTTGGAAGCTCACTAACCTTTCTTTTTCTGAAAATCAGAGTGTATTTTCTTCTTAATCTTCTATATCCTTTTGCAATTTACACATCTTTCAATACCCTCAGGAATCTCTCAATTCCATAAAATATATTTTGAATAGTGACAGGTTTTTAATTATTAACATTGCCTTTATATTTTATCATATACTTTGGCTTTCAAATGCCTTTCATTAAGATGAGGCGACGTAATATGTTTTCATGAGAGAGGGTGGAAGTGAAAAAAATAGTTAAGGAGAACTAATATCAGATTATCTTCCTATAGCAACAGGCTTGTATCTTATTTCTTACCCTTCTTGCTCTATACTTGGCTTTAAAGACTTACTTTGTCATTCTTGACATTCTTATATTTTATATATATTTTCTAGCCAACGTGATAGCCAGTAGCTGTGTGGGTTGGTAAATGGCTTGCCCAAATTAAAATGCACAGTAAGTTTAAAGTATGTAGTCAGTTTTGAAGACCTAATGAAGAAACTACCTCATTAACAATTTTTATAGTGGTTGTATATTGAAATAAATTTCTAATTATATGGGCTAACCAAATATATTAATATTAATTTTCCTGTTTCTTTTTACTTTATTGTGGCTACTACAAAACCTAAACTTGCAAACGAGATTCATATTACATTCATTTTGGACAGTGTTGCTCAGGCTTTATTCGCTGAGGAGGTATAGTACTCTCAGTTTTATTTTCCTTATTTTTCAACTTTCCTTTGTAATACATTCTTCCGTGTGTTACATATATTCTCTTTGAAGAGAACTAAAGGACAGCTCAATCAGGTAGTTGTCTCACTACTGCCAAATACCTCCTCATTTAATTGTTCTCTAGTATTCTTTGCTTGAAGCTTGTCAAAAATTCACTGTTAAGTGCTTCCCAAATTCTCAATTGCCTTGATTTAATGTAACATCACTACTAAGAAAAATACCATGATGCTAATAACGATGATAATAATTTGTTGTGGAGCTCCTTTGTGTCAGACACTGAGTGAAATACTTTAAATACATACATAAATATATACATTCATTCATTCATTAATATTTAAAATTCAGCCAGGTGTGGTGGTGCACACCTGTACCCAGCACTCAGGGGGCTGAGGCATGAGGATCTCTGTGAGTTCATGCGCCAGCTTTAGGCTTAGTCTGGAATCTCTCTAGCCCCTTAATTTTCTGCCTGATATATTCATATATAACCCCTCATGGCCTCACACCCGTTGCTTCTCTTTACTCTAACATTCTGCTGCATGTTAGTGCCAGTCCAAAAATGGATAATTGTGGTTTTCTTACCACACATGTGGCCATCTTTATATTAAGAGTAATAGCCAACCCAGAGATTTTTGTTGTCTTGTTTTGATTGACAAAAGTGTTAGATTTCTAATAGGTTGGGGAAAAAAAAGAAAAGGTCAAGACATACCTTCATTAAAACCCTCAACAAGTGCAAATAAAAAT